ATTCCCATGGGCCAATAGCACATAATCATCAAGGCCCAATTATGGCCCACCTATGGCCCAATTTTCCAAATTGGGCCCAAGTCCTTCACATGAGCCTTACCCTAAAACTCATCCAATTATTTTGGTCCATTTACTTGTTCTTGGATAGCCCATCAATAGTCCAATCACCAAGGCCCAATAGGAAGGCCCAAATCAAGGCCCAAGTGAAATTAGGGTTTTCACATGAAATGACGATTAGGGTTAAATGTTCCTACTTAACCCATTAAGGACTTAATCCATTAAGTCTAATATTGCCTTAGGTTAATTTGCAAATGATTATTAATTAACGTTTTTAGTTTAGTAATTAATTCAAGTGCGGGTCCCGATAATTCCCCAAAATTAGGGTTTTATGCCATTAGGGTTTTCCAAACCCTAATTAGGGTTTCCAACCCAATACTAGCCCATTAGTCACATGGTTGGGCTTTTAGGTCAATTAGGGCTTCATTGGGCCCATTAGAGTTTCACTTGGGCCCACTAGGGTTTCATTAGGCCCATTCTATCCAAGCATCCAAAACGAGTCAAAACGCAAACGAGGCATAACGCCACCCAACACGGCGGCTGGTGGCGGCAGCCACCACCCTACGGTGGTGGTTTTGAGTTTTTATTATCATTCCGACACCGATTAAAATTTACAACACAATCCCGATAACACACACACACACTAATATAAACACATACGTACACAGCCACCCTTATGGTGGCTGGTGGTGGTTTATGGTGGCAGCCACCACCTCACGGTGGTGGTGGTGGCTGTTCTCGTAAGTTACAGCCAATGAAACCTCATACAACACGTTCTTATGTTTGCTAAACAAACCCAGCCACCCACCTGGTGGCGTATGACAGCGATAGTGACACAAGAAGGCGGCTAACGGCGGTGTTGACGGTGGCACAGTAGCGGCTGATGACGACAGCCACCATGGTTGGTGGCCATGGTGGATTGTCTCGGGTTTTTCTGACTAAGCGAACGCCCATAAGCAAGTCACGGTGAAGCAGCAACCCTCACAACCCGAGTTCATTCGCGAAGCATGCACCCACCTCATCCGCTTCGGGTGGTAAAAGACGACCGGGGCAGCGGCGGCGACAAGGGTACGATAGCAGAACGAAATGGAGAATAGACACGGTGTTGTGGTTCCTTCCGAGTGCAGCAGTAACGACAACATAACGAACGTCCACCCATTGCATTCCGAGTCGTCGCCAGCAACGAGAAGGCGACGTGCAAACGACGGGTCAACATGGCGGCGAGGTGTCGGCTGATACCGGTGGCCGATGGAACAGTGGCACTCGTGGTCCGCCACTCCACGACAATCTTGAACCAACCCGACGTGGGGAAAGAATGGGGGTTGACGGCGGTTCTCTTGGGTGATCGGAAAGACGAGACGGGAGTGAAGGATGGTGGCGGCCAGACGATGGAGGAAGGAGAGATGGCGGCTGAAGCATAGAGTGGTTAGGGTTAGGGTTACGGAAGGTTGAGGGTTATATACCCGGTTCTAATAAACTACACCCCATAATGACAACATTAGCTCCTCCTTTTCCCTTTTCTTTCACAGCAGATCCATATTTTACCATTTACACCCTGCCTCCTGAAATCCTTTACAATTTAAGTCCGAATTTTACCAAGCAGCCCCTCCCTCTACAAATCCTTTTCAAATTAGCTCCATAATTTACTCTTTAGCCTTTGTTTCCATAAATCCTTACAAAATAAGTCCCGGAATTACACTTTAACCCTCAAAACTCTAAATCATGCCATTTGACTCCCCGAAACCAACACCCCACTAATTATTATTTGATTTTTGGACTGTAATAATATAAAATAATAATAAAATTACTTCTCGGGGTCCCGAGTTTAGAATTGAAATAACCTTACAAAAAATAATTCTCGTGTATGATATAACCGAAAATCCTTTTTTTTACTCGAGAATTATTTTTTGTAAGGTTATTTCAATTCTAAGGGTATAGAATGACATGTATTAAATAAAAGGATGTTAGTTAATACCTAAAAATAATTAATCGAAATATTCAACAAGAATATAATTTAATTAATTGATTTTGTGGAAAATATGATAAATCAATTTCATTTCCAAGTCTCCCCCAATATTGCACTCACATCTCCAAAGTTTGACCAACACTTTCTACACTTTAAAGAACAACAACAACAAATAAAAATAATAATAAATAGATAAAATAAAATAAAATAAAAAAATCAAACACTTGAAATGTCATGATTAGGGTGCTTTGAAAACAATGTTTTAGACTCATTTTATAAACTTGGAGTCTTCCCAAACTTTCATCCTTTGACCAATATGATTGGGACAACTATTTATTCAGTATCCTTATATCAAACTAAATGTAAGAACACTGTGCTAGAAGGCTTACCACATCAACCTTCAGTTTTTAAAAGGGTTTCTTACACGATTCCATCTCATGCAAAGTAATGCAATTTCCCAGCTCATCCCATTATATAGAAACTTAACTCCTACCACCATTTCCAGCACCACCATCATCGGCCAACCTCTAAAATTCTCTGCCGCTTTCTCTACCGTTGCACCACACATACCACCAAACAACAATCACATCATAGTAACCATAAAGAACTGGGGAGTACATCCCTTCATTTTTTTCAATATACAAAATCAAATAAAGTCTACTTGTAAAATGAGTCAAGGTCAATGCAAACATAACCATAAGAAAGGTTGTAATTGCAGCAGACTCAATCGAGAAAACCACATTGGAGCAGACCGAGCTTGGAGATGAAGCGGGACCGCTGGCGACATTGACAGCCTATAGGATGGATGGGCGGCAATGGCCCATCAGAGGTATAATTAGCAGACCACATCTAATATTAGAACAATGTGGGCAAGTTCCATTACTCAGGTCATTCTTTGATATCAGTATTATTACAACATAAAAGCTGGATAAAAGATTGCATCGCGATACCTCCTTAATAGGAAGAGAAAGTAATACATTAGTAAACCAATATTTCGAACTTATCTTCATGATTCAGATGAAAAAGCACACACGTTTGGTTCTACTATATTAGATAAATCCTATAGATGTGCAATTGAAAGGTTTGTTTGTTAATTTGAAGAAAAAACAAATGACTCTTTTTTCAAAGATGTATAACTTGCAGATTTTCTGCCAAGTTCACTCACTAGCGAGTTGAAGAAATTTCAAGTATATATGTTTCTTCACTCTTCGATGATTATCTTGATTTTTGGGTTTTTTTGTTTTTAGAAAAATTGCTTTGTTTATTTTTTGGTATTCCCATTTTAATGATTATAATATAGGATAAAACTTATATGGCCTTATAATATCACCTCACTGAAGGAAATGTGAAACTACAACATCATTTAAGAACAAGCAAGTGTATAGAATTTGTGCTTACTGCTTAACATATCCAAATAGAGAAAAAAAAAAAAAAAAGTATTATACGATCAAATGCTGTCCAAAAGGAGACTAACAGGCGATTGAAAAAAAAACAAGTATTATATGATCAAATGTTGTCCAAAAGGAGACTAACAGGTGATTGAAACATCAAATAGAACTCTTATGTGTATGTGTCTTTCATGTGTGTGTATGTGTGTCAGTGTGTGTGTTGTGGTGGCATCACCACAAACGGATGTAACTGTTTTAATATCGAAATATAAGATATTTTCTTTTTAATAATTAGTTAAACTACGAAAGTGATAAAATTACATATTTTGTTGAAAAATGTTGTTGATATTTGTTAGTTATTTATTGTATTAGGATGTTATTATGAGATATTTTCTTTTTATATATTTTTAAAGTTCAAAAAAATATCACAACATGAAAAGAAATACATAAAGTGGCTCAAGCATATTGAGCTAATAAATTCCACTGATATCATGTAGCATGTATCTATATTGTTAATTTGGTTGTGAAATGAATATAATTTAACATTTTGGAACGGAAGGAAACATTAAAACCAACAAGATCAGGTTCACCTGTATCTCTTAAATTACACAGAAAGGTAACATACTTCATTTAATAAACAGGGAATTTGCTAAAAGAGGTGTTACACATGAAAAGTAGTAGTACATTGCTAAAAATAGTAAAATAGTGTTATAGTGATGTCAGAAACAGTGAAATTGAGGTATGTTGCTATTAAGAAAGGATTTGAAATCAAGGTATGTTATTTCTTGAGTAAAATGCTAGAAATAAACAAAAGGACAAAATATGTTGCTATTTCTTGAGTTAAATGTGAGAAATATACAAAGTATGTTTGTATTTGCCGCATTTAATTTTTTTAACCCCACCATTTTGACTTAAATACAAAAAAAATAAGCAAAGTATGTTGTTATTTCTTGTATTGAATATATTTTTTAAGTTACTTTTTAACCCAATTTTTTGGGTATTGGTAAATAATGAGGAAAACGGTCCAAATATAATGTTCGAAAGTTATTTTGCATTATATAGCATTATATAGCATTATACTTTTAAAGTACAATGCAATAATCAGACATACTTTGAAAAATCCACCTAATTATAGTATTGTGCTTTCAAAGTAAAAAAAATTAATAAGAAAAAAGCTCAATTATAGTATTGTCTGACGGTTTTTAAGCAGTCTACTTACGGTTTATGGTTTTACTTGTTTTCTTTTTTTTTTCTCTTTATCTTTTGGTGTGCGAATATACTCCTCCTCACTTATGCATATTGGTGAGATTATGTCATTTTCTAAAATGACTCCTTCCTAATTGTGTTGATCAACTCTTCTTTTGCTTAAATGACACCTTGACGGTAATTTAAGAAAATACGACCCAATGGTGTGGATCTCATATGTAACATAATTCAAAGATCCAATATAAACACATTGCATTATGGATTATATATATATATATATATATATATATATATATATATATATATATATATATATATATATATATAAAGTACATTGCTACTATTGGTAAAGAAATATAATATCATTACATTTATTTGAGATTACCCCCAAGACAGTAATATATAAGACGCAATAATGTGTTCGCTAATAAGGATCATTCCAAAAGTAACTATGACAAATGATGCAATAATGTGTCTGTTAATAATTTATTAGATATTTTCATTTGAGTGAAGAAGTAGCCTGCAAGAAAAGAGGGTTTGGCTCCTGGCAAGCAGTCCCCATGTGAAGCAACTCAAGGGTTTCGACATACGTATCCATGTCCAATAAGGCAGAAGTATGATTGAACTCCATTAGTGTTAATAGTGCCCCTGTCTTAGGACTGTAAACTCTGAACCCTTCCCAGAAAGCGTCAAGCAACAAATCACCATTGTTGGTCAGTTCCAAAGCTTTCCTTACCCCTTTTTCAGCTTTAATTGTTTCCGATTTCAGAACTAGAGACCAAGAAGAATCCGCATATGCATCTCTCCTATTCCTCACCCAAATCCAAGTATCAACATCAGAATCGTTTCCAGAAAGCACAGCTAGAGAACCTTGAATGATTTGTAGCTGTTGGGTTAACCAACTAGGTTTTGGCAAATCAATGATGCCAAAAACATGAGTGCTCAAATCAAATGTCATTATATAATGAAATTGTATGTCTTCTGAATCAGGAAAACAACATCCTACCACCCAATGCAATACCCCATTGAGATAACACGCCCTTGATAACACTCTAGAATACAAAGGCATACGGGAATCAATCGGATGCCAAGCGCCTGTCTTGGTGGCGTAAACAAATGAACTTTCTAAAATTCTTGTATTTCCATTTGCAGGAATACTCACAACCTTGTTATCATCAGTCATTGGGTCGAAACCAAGCCCATACCCTAGCCCATAAATGAGTCTCCGGGGACAAGCAGGCAGCGTTAGTAGGCGCTTAATTGAAGGGTTCCATAGACTAATTACACCATTTTCATAACCAAACAGAAGAAAAATTCCATTACAGAAACCAATAAGACTGGCCTTTCTGCGTGGATACTGGAGTGGTGTTATACCAATGTATCCTCCACACAATGGCAATGGCAATTGGTCTTGTGCGTGTAACGTACAAAAGAGGGCATCGCCATTTTCTTGTAGGTATTTATTATAAAGTACATGTATCAAGACGAGTCTTTGTGGGGATCGACAAGTGTGCTTGCGGATGAAACCGGGGCTATCAATACAAGCACGTATTGATTTGGAGACCGATCTAAATCGGAGAAGGGATTTGGGAGGTAGTCTTGTCAAGATTTCAACCATCAACTCTTCACATAGATTATCTAACATTCTGCGTTTTCCAACAAGATAAAATTACAATCAAAACCATTACTAGTAGCAATTAGATATCAAACCATCTTTGTTGCTTTTCAAGATTTCCGAAAGAATCTTTGTTTAATCAAATCCAAATTACAATTTTGCTTGCTTCATCCCTTATAAAAATATTTCATATCGATTACTAATGCAATAGTACTATTCACTAGATAAGAATAAAACTTCTAAATGGATTGATGATTGATATTTCTCATTGAGAACTTATCGCATTATTTATTTATATATGTACTTTAGTGATCTAATTTTGTTCAAACATCAATACAAATCTTATTTTTCTATGTGGATTTGTCATAAAAACTGTCTTCAGGTATAATTGATATGCTTAGATATCCTATATCTATACAATACAAAGGAAATATGGGCTTCGATCATCATGTATATTTCTTATCATACTTCTAAAAAGATACACACTTCTTTCTCTAATAACAGTTTTGTAAAAGTCTATCTATTTCTAAAAGATGTATTTCGTTGCTTATTTTGCTATTGTTTTGATGTATATTCCAGTTACCTATGGCTGAAAGTAACACATATAAAATCACAAGCTAAACCATAGATTCAATGATGAATGCCAGCCTAATCAAGTTAACAACTTTTTCCTCTAAAGATCCTACCTTAGTGTTCTATTTTCACATGCTACGGACATATCTCATAAAAATAACTCAGAAAAAATTGAATCTTTAAAACCTAAAATTGAATCTTTAAAACCTCTAAAGATTCAACGCTGAATGCCAGCCTAATAAAGTTAACATTTTTTTCCTCAAAAGATCCTAATTTGGGGTTCAATTTTCACATGCCACGGAAAGAAAAATTGAATCTTTAAAACCTAAACAAATTATTAACAAGCCAAAAAAATCTTACTTTACCTTTAAAAGGGTATATCAATCAATCACCGGAGAAAGGGAACTGTGAATTCGACTGCGATCATGTATTAAGAAAAATCGGGTGAGTGGGGGACCGAGGGACTATTCCGGAAGGAGTAGATGGTAGACCATCCAGATGCTTACGGGGAAGAACAGATCGATCCACAGGAACGTAGATCCACTTTAACTAATGCAATTCGGGGCTGATAAGATCCCGTCGATCGGTGCAAGGCTTTCCGGAAGAAATTGTTACAATTGTGCGACGACGGAAAAGATATCGGTCGGTCGGTGCAACGCTTTATAGAGCTTAGATGCTTCACAATTCACATAGCTTTCACTAAATGGGCTGGCCCGATATTTGTTTCAATAGGAAAAGGTAAGTTAACAACAAGTTAAAATCTGCCGATATACTTTGGTAATTTATGTTAATAAACAAGGAAATAGACTCGTGACAAAATTGCAAAAATGTGCCGTGGTATGTATTTTTTTGGGTTTTAGTCCAAACCAAGATTTTTTTGGAATGATGATTCTTTTGAGATAGTTTCATTGCGTTTTTGATCCATCGGTAAACTGAAATAACTGTAATACCCTTGGGGTAGTTATTTTTCATTTTTCTTTCATTCTTTTAAAATCTAATTGTTTTTTATTTATTTTAATAATTAAAAAAGTGGGGCTCTCTCTCTCTCTCTCTCTCTCTCTCTCTCTCTCTCTCTCTCTCTTCCTGATGACCCATCAACCAAAACACCCACTCTCATTGTAAAACCAGTGAAGAAGAAGGAAAGGACCGGTGATTCTTCGCCGGTAGTAGCAGGTCCAACCTTCTCCGCCTATTTCCACCGAGCACCCGCTGTCAAACACCCCCCGAATTGTTGTTGTACTGTCCCGATACCCCTTCACAACGCTCTCAACGACTGTCATCCTGTTCATCTCCTTCCTCTGTCGAAGAACTAGAATCATCGGTGATGTTTTCCCTGTTCCCCACTACCGCCACCTCCATATCCCCTTCCCTTCCTCCTTCTGCCAAAAAGCACCACCACAAACACCCTCTCCGACTGTTGCTACCCTTCTCAATGTAACACCCCGAGTTCAGAAGTGCAAGTTCAGGGTCCTTAGTGTAAATAAGGAAGGTCGACTCGACGAGTCTATGGATGGACTCGGCGAGTCGAGTCGCGATTTGGTCACGCGTTAAGTGACCAACTAGGCGAGTCGGAAGTAGACTCGGCGAGTTGGTGCTGAAAGGAGAAACCCCTAATTCTGGGAGTTGTGCCCTATATAAAGCATATTATAGCTACCCTCAGCCTCTTTACTGCCCATTTGAGTTCCAGAAACCCTAATTAGTGTGTGTGAGCCTCCATTGTTAGAGTTTTGAGCTTGGAAGAAGAGTTTAAGAGGAGGAAGTTAGAAGATCAAGAGGCTAGCATCAGGAGACCATTGTAGATCCGGAATCTACTCCTTCTTGGGCACACAAGTCGCTACCTTGAGTTCTCTCCTTCTAGATCCATTCTTAGTGGTTGTTTTGGGATTCTTTAGCATGACTGAGATCTATTTTTGGGTTTAGAGACTAGATCTGAGGTTGTAACTTCAGATCTAGGTTTTATTGGAACCATGAGGGCAGAAAGCATCAGCCTTGGGGCTTGATGGAGAGTGTCTTTGTCCCAAAACCTTCTTGTAGCTTGGTTGGAGCTTGTTGGGCCTTGCATGCACGTAAAGTTGGAAACTTTACGTGTGAATCTGGCCCTAGGAGTCCAGATCTATGTATTGGAAGCAATAGAATGGCCTGAAGTCGTCTGAATGAAGATGTCACGTTTGGACTCGGCGAGTCACATGGGTGCACTCGACGAGTTGTATGAACATGTGCATGGACTCGGCGAGTCTGGTCGTGGAACCCTAACTTTTCTGGTCAAGCCGTGAATCGGTGAGTCGAGGGACGACTCGATGAGTCGAGCAGGATGGAACTCGAAGATCATTGGACTCGACGAGTCTTGGGGCGACTCGGCGAGTAGACACGTGTTATGGGAGTTTTTGAGTAAGGGAACCCGATGAGTCGTCGGGTCGACTCGGCGAGTAGAGTCAGACATGAAAGTTGACTTTGACTGAGGACTTTGACCTTGACCAAGAGTTGACCAGTTTGACTTCCAAGGGTATTTTGGTAATTCTGGTATTTATGAAAGTGGTTTTTTGGTAGTGTTCTGTGGTGAAGATCGTGTCGGTGGTCGGAGCAGCTTGGTCTTATCTCTTCAGTCGGCAGTTGCAGGTGAGTTATCCTCACTATATCGACAGGGGCTACGGCACCAAGGCCGACCCTTTATCGGATGGAAATCCGGGTAGTTGTTGTTATGTTATTGTTTTGCGATGTCTGCATCCTGGTAGTTAGGATGGTATGTGTTAGAGACCTGGTTAAGGTCGGTACCCGGGATATAGGGTAATGATATGCTAGTGACCGGTTAGGTCGGAATCCTGGTTAGGATATTGATATGCTATGTGATATGTTAGACCGTTTGTCTGGTTGGGGATTGTATATGATTATATGTTTATGTGCACATGGTTGTTGGACTGGGGTTGGGTTGAGGCGGGTCCTGCTTTGTGTTGTAGGCCAACATACCCAGGGCGGACCGGATATTTCGAAGGCCCAGCGAGCGGTCCGGATAGGTTGAAGGCTCCAAGAGGGCGGACCAGACGTGCCGAGGTTCGGAGAGTGGACCAGACCGACTGAAGGCCCGGTGCGGGCGGACCAGTCATACTGTAGACTCGGAGAGTGGACCAGGTGGACTGAAGGCCCGGTGCGGGCGGACCAGTCATATTGTAGACTCGGAGAGAGAGTGGACCGGGTGGACTGAAGGCCTGGTGCAAGCGGACCAGTCACACTGTAGACTCGATATGCATGGTTGTTCTATTTATGATATGATATGAGTATGTTATGCGTGGTTGGTATTTTGGGGGTAACTCACTAAGCTTTCGGGCTTACAGTTGTAGTGTTATGTTTCAGGTACTTCAGGAGATCGTGGCAAGGCAAAGGCGTGATCGTACCGCTCCTCATGTTTTATGATATGGTTCTGGGGATACTCTGATGTTTAAATAATTTTGAAAACGGAATGTATGAACTTAATGGTTTTTGAATGAATTAAAATGTTTTAATTTGGCTCAATTTTTATGGACGTTACACTCAACCCCCACAACCCCGATTGAAGGATTGAACCGCCGGAAAAACCGACTCCTCCTTCGTGCTTCATAGCGAATCAGGAAAAGAAGAAAGAAAGAAGATTGATGTTGCTTTCGGTCCCTTTTTGTCTCCGATCAGATGGGAATCGAAGACCTATTCCCTTTCTTTTGCCTGACAGACCAAACACAACCACCACAAGTCTCGATTTTCATCCTTATTGCTCGATTGAACTCCTCAGGATAACCGACAGTCGATTTTCCTTACTGTATTGCAGTTGATTGGACCAGAAGACAAAGTAGGTCGTCGGAGCGGCCCGGCAGTGTCGACGCCCTTCCTCCTCCCCTCTTTGCGATCCGTTTAACCACGACCAGTACCCATCGATTGTGGCCTTGTTCTTCTCAGCTTTCGTCTGTCGCGTTCCTGTTGCTCCTTCGACCAGATAAAGATGAAGAGGAAGAGTCCCCTTATCGTTTTGATTGTATTGGTTTATTAGAGAGAGAGAGAGAGAGATAGATAGAGAGAGAATGGGTGTGGGTCCCATTTTATATTATATTAATAAAACATTAAATTAAATAGAAAATAATATAACAAATATATCAAGAGGGCAATTTAGTCATTTCAATTTTCGGAGGGACCATTTTCACATACAAACTAGTCCAAAAGGACCACGAATCCAAAAAAGTCATGGTTTGGACTAAAACCCTAAAAAAATGCATATCACAGGGACCATTTTTGCAACTTTGTCTAGACTTATTAAGGTAATTAGTTACTCAGATGTGAACAAACCGAAAAGGTAAGAGTAAATTTGTAACATTCCGTTTTAAAATTTGATAAATAAATAAAATAAAATAAATAAAATCAATTAAAAAAATAAATAATAGCCCTAAAACCCCGATATATAATTTATATTTCCATTTATTTAGCCCTAAATCCATACTAATTTATCAGTGCTAGCCTCAAGGAGTGAAATGTTATAATTTTATGGAAATTAGGGATTATTTAGTAACAATTGGACTTGTAATGTAAATATTTTTTAAGAGCAGGGGGATGTTTTGTAACTATGGACCTAAGCTGAAATAAATCTAGGGGGAGGGACTAAACGCGCCAATATGGTATGATGTTTGTAAGATACGGGCCTTTAACCCGTGTTTCCCTCCTGTGTTTCTTCCATGCGGTTCCCCTAAAACCCTAAACCATCTCTTACTAGAGCAGTCGCCGCCACCCTACCCTCTTGCTTCTCCGACCAACCAAGCCACCGGCGAACCATTGCTGCCGGTGAAACCGTTGTTTGTTACTGCTTCCGCTGCCAATGAAGGCAACAACCGTGGGTTCAGTCACATGCCTCCTATACTGCCTCATTCCGGTAAAGACACAACCCATTATTCTTCTTCCATACTCGTTTCTCCCATTTCTACCCCGTACCGGCCACTGTCGCCGCTCCGATGGCTGTCCCATCATCACTCTCGTCCGACAGTCACATGCCACCGTGAATGGGTGGCTGTGTTGTGTGTGTGTGTGTGTTTCTACACAATGATGTATGTGCTTCAGTGTACATCGGGGTTTGTGTGCGTTGTTGGTCCAGAAAACCGAAGAAAAACCCCCACCACCACCGTGAGGTGGTGGCTGCCACCTCATGCCGCCGTTTGCCGCCACCAGCCGCCACTTTGGGTGGTTGTGTGTATATGTGTGTGTTTTTGGAATGTTTTCACTGTTTTGGCCTAAAAATCATAATCGCCACCACCATAAGGTGGTGGCTGCCGCCATGGACCGCCGCCGACCACCACTGCCCGAGGTGGCAGCGAGTGGTGTCCGATTTATACACACACATACACACACACACACACATATATATATAATATATATATATATATATATATATATATATATATATATATATATTGTCACACCCCCGAACCAGACGGCGGAAACGTCCGAGGGCTCGTGTGACTAACAATTGAAATATCATCACAATGAATATACATGAAACATAACACATTCATCACCAACATTACATATTACAGCTGTTATTGTTCACATCAAGTACATTGTCATAGATTACATAATTCCAAAGTATTAATAGTACCATGAGTGATGTTACACAAAATAAATCCATACACACTTGAAAATCTTCCTGCTTAACGATTACCTGAGAATACAAGTTATTTTG